AGGCAACAGGGGAGAAGTTTGCAGCAGAACTTCCAGAAAACACCTATGGGAGCATGAGTTCAATAGGAATCGCACCAGTGAAAGCAGAAGTGGAACTGAGCAGGGAGAGCTTTGGATGGTCAAGCAGATCAGGCGAGGTCTCAAGTAGCCCGAATGGAGCTTGGGGTCAAAGCCTGGCCCTGAGAGGAGTCTTGCCCAGGAAGGACATGGCCAGGATTCCCACCTTTTTGCTCAGTCATTGGATGGGAGCTGCCCAGAGGAGAGGAGCTGCACTGGAGCCAGCTTCTTCCAGCTCACAATAGCTGACTATTACATTTTCAGAAATTTTATGAGCCAGAAGTTGTGCCTAGCCATGAATAAAAATTAAATTATATAAACTTACAATTAAATAGAATATATTTTAAAAATACAATATGGATAGCAAATAAGCACATGAAGAAAGGTTCAAGATCATCAGCCATTTGAGAAATACACATTAAAAATGTGATGAAACACCTGTGCATACACATAGCTAAAGTTTTTAAAAATATATTGATAATAACCAAGGCTGGTGAGAATGAGGAGCTACTGCCTCTCTCATTCATTGCTGGTGGCGATGGAAATGGAATAACTGATCTGTTACTTCAGTTGGGAAGTTTCTTATCAAGTTAAACATGACCCAGCAATCTCATTTCTGCATTTTTATCCTAAGGAGATGGAAATTTTTGTTGACACAAAAACCTGGGCAGTGTTCCAGACATAGAATGTAAAAGAAAAAGTTTAATAATCAAATTAAACTTAAGAGTATATATGGCTGTAGCTGTTACATTGTAAATATCACAAAAATTGGAGGAATATTCTAGTATTTGCAAACTGTTATCTGATTCACAAGGAAATCACCAATGCCACTGAAGAATGAGTGAAGTTCCCAGGATACATTTTGCTGTTTTAATTTCATATTATTCCTTAATGTAAACAAAAATATCAATCAGTTTTTTAAAACTTTTTTTTTGTACTCAGGATTGAAGTCAGGTATACTTGACCACTGAGCCACATCCCCAGCCCTATTTTGTATTTTATTTAGAGACAGAGTCTCATTGAGTTGCTTAGGGCCTCGATTTTGCTGAGGCTAGCTTTGAACTTGTGATCCTCCTGCCTCAGCCTCTCAAGTGAGCCACTGGGATTATAGGTGTGTGCCACTGCACCCTGCTACCAATCAATTTTTATGTCAGATCCATACTGATTTGTTAAGTGCATGTTGGGTACAATAGCTTAGATATGAGAGATAAAGAGCAGCAAAACTTTCCCGTGAGAATTAATTGGCTCTATGGAATACATAACAGAGTATTGTATATTGAATCATCATTGAGAAATTATACATTATACTTCTTCATATCAGTAAAATTTATAATAAACTGATTCTTACACATGCATGCAGATACTTGTACAATCCATTGTCATTATTTTCAGATTTTTGTATTTGCAAATTCATCTGTGTTAAAATTGACCTGTGTGAATTTCAGTCAATACCTACTGTGCTGTTATGGTCATTCGTAGACATGAAAGGAGTGGCAAAAATTTTGAATTGGCCAGCATGCACAGCTGGGTCGGACAGCTCTGCTTTTTGCTCCAGCTCTCATCTTGTAAGCCTACTCTCTGCAGTTTATCTATTGCCGTGTTTTTCATATGTTTGTGCTTTTTTGTGGATAATTTCGGAGTTTAAAATAGCCCCCAAGTTTAGTGTTCAGGTGCTATTACTAAGCACAAGAAGACTGTGGTGTACCTTATGGAGAAAATATGTGTATTAGACAAGCTTTGACCAGGTATGCATAATGCTATTTGGCTATGAGTTCAATGTCAACAATATACACCGAAAAAAAGTGTCTTTCAACAGAAAAACACACAGAAAATAAGATTAAAGTATTTCCCTCAACACCTTATCCTCAGTTTTGCTTTCTGAAGTTTTAGTTACCCATGGTCAACCACAGTCCAAAAATATTAAATGGAAAGTTCCAGGAATAAATAATTTATGAACTTTAAATTGAGAACTGTTCTGAATGACATGATGACATCTGGTGCTGCCAGTTCCATTCCTCTCTGGATGTGAATCATCCCACTGTCCTGTACACCCAGCACTCCTTTAGTCATTTAGTAGTCTTCTTGGTTATCAGATCAACTATCACGATTTCACAGTGTTTGGTTAAAGTAACCCTCACATAACAGCCTAAGGCTATGTAAGTCACAATACCTGTGACATCCATCCTACTTCATCTCCTCACACAGGCACTGCATCATCTCAAAACATCACAAGAGTGAGTACAGAACAGTAAGATAAGCAGGGGGGGAGTATTGCCCTGATTAACTCAGCTGGGAGCATGCATGTTGGACAATTTTGAAGAGAGACATATTCACATAACTTGTTACAACATAGTGTTATAATTATTCTATTTTGTTATTAATTATCGCTGTTAATTTCTTATGTCTTTATAGTTAAACTTTATCACAGGTATGCATATACAGGAAGAAAAACAGTACATACAGTGTACATCGTACATGCATCCAGTACGGGGGCTTGGAACATATCCCTTGTGGATAAGGGGAGACTATTACATATGTTAATGGGTTGATGAAAATGTGACCATAGTCTCACAGGGATCTAACTTTGTATTTCAGCCAGGAGGAATGGTTCAGTATTCACTATTTGGTGTTTGAAGCTACTTTTCAGGGCTTACGGAGAACTATAGAGAAGCATGACAAATGACCCCACTGCGAGCCTGTTGTTAAACTTTACCAGCACACCATGACTGAGGCCCACTCTGCAGGAATTGCCACACTGCTGGCAACCAGGCAGTCCTGTCATGGAATAGGGTCTGAGTGACATATCTCCATGTGGGCCCCAATTTCCAGGCCTTCAGTTAGAGAAGTTCAGTCTTCAAGGTACAAGTTTGAATCCATATCTTCAATTGACTAGGCTAGTGAACTGTACCTCGTTCCATTCAGCAGGAGAATGACAGCTACTTCACAATTTTGTTGTGAGTCCCAGTGAGACAGATCACGTATGTGAAATGATCAGCACAGTGCAGAGCATGCAGTAGATGGTGAACACATACAAATCCTCCTACACTTCACTCCAAACTCCAGTAGGGGGCGGGGGTAGGGAGACTCTCCATTCTATCTGCTGCTCACTCCTTTGATTGTGGAGGTTTGGGCTACAGCAGGGTTGTTCCCATTCTAAATCAGCGTTCAACATAGACCCTCACTGTGTGAAAAGCCCAGGCTGGGTTCTGAAGCAGAAACACCCAAACCTGAGATGCTAGAACACCTGCTGCCTGAAAGGCGTTGCTTCTTTCCAGGACCATACAAGGAGTCTGCTTCCTAAGCTAGCTCTTGCTGCCTTCCTTTCATGACAGGAAAAGCAGGCAATGTTCTAGAGGTGCCTGTGTGTGTGGCTTCTGTTTTAGGGGTGGTGGGAGGAGGCTATAAGATGGGCACATTTGCTTAGTCAGTTTTTTTTTTTTTTTTTGATGCCCTAACCTGTGCTTCAGAAGCCTAAGCCAACTCAGATCTTGCTTCCTTTGACTCAGCTTTACCCTGAAGACACAGTTTCGTCTCTGAGTCATCAGGCTGAGCTCCTGCTTTCGAGGACAGCAGTCTGGCATTGCAGCTTCATCTTCCTAGGAAAGGTGCTATGTCTCCACACCCCAGTGCCAGCCCCATGCCTAATTTGGCTCACAATACCCAGAAGTGAAGAAACAAATTCTTCATAAGATCAGAGAAAAAGAGTTCAAGATCAGGGCTTGGAATGCTGGGGTTTCAGTTCCTGCTCCACCAATTAGCTTGTGTGACCTTGGGCTAAACCTACCTGAAACCCACCAGAACTGGTGTCCTTTTCCTTAAAATAGAAATAGTGATCCACGCTGGGTCTACCCCACTGGAAACCCAAATGAAGCAGATTAAGTACTCCAAACATGAGAGCACAAACCCTTGGTCTATAGGCTGGATCTGATCCATAAACCCATTCTTTGACTTAAACAATGTTGACCTATATATATAGGTTTAGCATTTTTTTAAATAAGTCGCCAACAAATTAGGAGACTTCATTTAAATGTCTGGATTTATGGCTTTTCCCAAAAATGATAGGATCAAGCCATATTAATTCCTTTTCTTGGATGGCAGAAATCAACTGCAGATGAGTAGCAGAAGCCTTGGACAAGAGCCTGGGTGGGGGATGGGATGCTTTCCAGCTTGCCATAGTTCCCATCACTCCCTATTGTCTCCAAGCTTCCATTCCCCTTTATGATTGCTCTGGGGCTATCCCTTTGCTTTGCTGGAATCCTAGCAGGGGTGAAATCCTTCTAACAACCATGCTTCTGTCAAAACAGGAAATAAAAGCCCCAGAAATGTCTCTTGCCTCAAATTATCTCTCTCATATGGATCACAAAGTCAAAAATGAAACCCCTTTGGTTCAGTTTCACTACGTGCTATCGGGTGGAAGGAAAGACGCTAGTGGTGGTCAGGGCTGGGATCTGGAGTGCAGCAGGCTGCATTCCTCTCCAACCCCACTGTTTGTCCCCATCTGTAAAAGGAGTAGTAGAAGCAGCTTTCAGTGCTATTTTGCACAATGCAGAACGCAGAACATGAAATTATGAAATAATTAATGAAATAGGCAAATATTTCATTAATAAAAGTTCAATGAACTGCTTCCGTGGAAGATGGGGCTGCGAAGTGAAAGATTTAGGATTCTGAGTGGGGCTACAACCATGACTTGGAAGGAGATGGAAAAAGAAATGCCTTAGGAGAGATACAAGTTCTGTTACATCCCTTACCCACCTTCACTCCCCCACCTTCCCTGGCTAAGACCTCACTGCACACAGATTCCCAGTTGCCAGGCCTGGGTTCAAGTCCTGTCTTGGGCAAGTCGTTACTTTGATGCTGTCTCCCCATGTATCACGAAGATAGAAATGTCTAGATGAGTTGAGAGAACGGTATGTGAAAGCACATTTGGAAATCTGAAAAGCGATATGCACCAGTTAGGAGTTTTCTGGTTTCTTTTCAAAGTTTTTCTCCTAAACTCTGTCCAAGGGCTTTTGCAGTTATCAAGGCTAAGACCCTCCCCCTCGATTTCGCAATTCGGCCCTTTCCCACACACCAAAGCCCGCGCCGCGTCAGGAGTCTTTTTCACCCCCGCTATCGAAGGCGGGGACTCGGGTGGTGTTGGCAGCCAGCTAACACAGGGGCGAAGCGGCGGCGGGCCGCGCCTCCCAGTCCCGCATCCGGCGCGGTGGGTGTGCCCGCAGGGTGTGCACCCCGAGTCCTGGCCGATCTCCCCGGCCAGAGGGCGCCTGGAGGCTGTGCGCGCCCCGGACAACCAGGGTGCGCCAGAGCGGGGTGCGCGCCCGGGACGCGGACCTGCACCCAGAGGCTGCGTGCGCCCCGAAGCCAGGGTGGGCGCCCCGCCGCGGGGCCCCAGGCACAGTGAGTCGCCTCCCACCGTACTTCCGCGGCTAGCCAAGGTAAGGGTCTCTGCGCCCCAGCCCCAAGCAGTGCGTCTGCTGGGGCGTCCAGCACCCCGCCCTGCGCTACCAGGGGCTTGGCCCCCGCGCTGGGCCACTCTTCTCTGGTCCCTGCTGCCATCCTAGCCCCCTCCCAGCGCGGCGTGGCCGGCTCCTTTTAAGGCAGAGGCTGCGGCAGCCAGGGCCGAGCGGGTGCCCCCGCCCCGGAGCCTGGGGTCCGCGACAGCGCGGGAGGGGGCTGCGGGGCTGCGCCGGCTGCGGGTGGGTGGGCGCCGCTCCCTTTCCATCTCCTGGAGGATTGAGACCACTGGGGAAGGAGAGACTGCGTCGTCCTTGCGGCCCAGGTGGTGCAGCCCCTGCCCAGCTTTACCCTGCGTTCTGGGATGCAGCTTGCGGGACTGGGGCCACCCTACCGCCGGCTCCTAGGACTACCTGGAATTCAGCGTGTGCAAAATCTGGCCCCAAGTTCCTGGCCTGACATTCCTCAGTCCCTGGCTGAAGTTTCCAGCCCTCCAGTGACCTTGGGTGGAGGCTGGGGTTATCTGGGGGCCAGGTACAAGAGCGCCCCGGAACATTTTGCCAAGCCTTGGGCCACTGGGAGAGCTCCCCTCTCTCTTACATCTCCCTTAGGGTCAAATCTTTGACCCCAAGTACTTTGCCCCTTCAACTGGCCGGTTACTTAGTATGGGAGTTGGAAAGTCAAACTCATGACCCCTACACCAGCTCTGAACCTACTCTTGCCCTTGAACATCCACCAGGGCTACAAAACCCTGGCAATTCTTATTTTCCAAGCACCCTGGGATGTGGGCCAGTAAGGTGGGGAGGGAGTATTTTCCAAGAAAGAGGAGAATATTTCTCCTCTCCAAGGATAATCCTCTGAGACCAGGGCAGAGAGAGTCCTGTATCCACCAGGCATGGCCAGGGAAGGGTCAGATGTAGCCACTGACCAGGTTGAAGCTCCGGGAGAAAGCATTTGAATTAAGTATAATTCCAAAGGACCTACCTGAGTAAATCAAATCTGAGTTTCTTAGAGCCTCTCCAGACGTGACAAAGGAGACCTTAGATCTACATTTGGAACCTAAGCTTAGTCCTCTCTTTCATTGTCTTTTCAAGTCCAGCTTTCCTGCCTCACTGGAACATAATGTGTCCCAGGGAGAGTTTGCTGTCATTCAATCAACTCCATGCCAGGCACTGACAAGGTAGAGGAATACAAAAGTAAAAGAACTGGCACTCTTTGGCCTCATGGAGTTCACAGACCAGTGGCCAAGACATGAATCAAATCACTCAAATAAGTATAGACTGCTTCACAGTGCTGAGTTATTTTAAAGGAAACCGTTAGGTGTCCTGAGAACCTGTGATTGGTCCAGTGTCACTCTGTCTGAAAACTGATAGGAGTTAACTGAGGAGGATGGAAAGAGGCTTAGAGCAAAAGGAGCTGTAGAGTCAAGTGGAGAAACTGAAAACCTGTTTGCCAGGTGAGGTCCAGGGGCCTAAATAGGCATGTACCTTAGTTCTGCATCCCTATGAGTGGGCCAATCAGCATCTTTCTTTCTTGGCTATAATAATGAGCAGTTAGACACTCCCCTCTCTGCCCCCATCCAGGTCACATGCAGAGAGAGAAATAGAGAGAGACTGACAGCACCCTGCTGGACTCACCCCGAACATGTGCACTAAGTACCAGTACCTTGATCAGATAGCTCATGTGTCCACTCATGGTGCCAAGAGCAATTCTTTACTCCTTCCGTGTTGTTCCATTCAGCTCACAACTGCCAGGCCTCTGCTCAGCATTTAGGAAAATTCATGCAGAGAGTGAAAGTTCATGTCAGACTTTTGCAGCTGGAAAGAACTCACTGTCCACAAAGTAAAATTCCTTAGGGTGGTGGACAGAGCATTTCCTAATCTGGGCCCTCCCTACCTGTCCAGCCTTATCTCTGGCTTCCACCACTTTCCTTGGTCTCCTGCAGTGAGCCTCCCCGAAGTGTTCTACTCACAATTACACTTGAGGCAATTTGTGGAGCACTTGTTGTCTTTGCACATACTGCCCTTTGTCTAAAATCCTCTTCCACTCGTTCACCTACTGAATGTATACATAGCCTTCAACTTCAACATTAAGGTTTCCCTCCCAGAAGGCCTTTCCTGACTAGACCGAATCAAAGGTTGCCTTTTCTTTGTTTCCAAAGGCATGTCCTGGGCTGGAGATGTGAGAGCACTTGCTTAGCATGCATGAGATCCTGGATTTAATCCTCAGCACTACCAAAAAATAAAAACACAACAATCCACCAAAAGTAGGCTTCTGTTACAGTGAGTATCAACTGCACTGAGTACCCTAAAAGCAGAACTTTTCTGGTCATATTTGTGTCTCCAGTGCCTAGCACAGATCAGGACCATAGAAAGTGCCCAATAACTGTTGGATAGAAATTGTTTAGTATTTCTTAACTTTTTAAATGGAGGAGTATTGCATATATCTTTAAGATGCTGTTGAAAATTATGGACACTGTCCTTCAAATGCATATAACTTAAAATATCTTGCATACAATATCATATGATTCATAGCTCCTCCTCCATGGACCCAATTTCCATACCTTTATTTTTTATTTTTTTGGTATCAGAGACTGAACCCAGGGGCACTTAACCCTTGAGCCACATCCCCAACCCGTGTGTGTGTGTGTGTGTGTGTGTGTGTGTGTGTGTGTGTGTGTTTTATTTAGAGTCAAGGTCTTGCCGAGTTGCTTCTAGCCTTGCTAAATTGCTGAGGCTGACTTTGAATTCACAGTCCTCTGTCTCAGCCTCCCTAGCCTCTGGAATTACAGGTGCATGCCACCATGTCCAACTCCATAAGTTTAGACTGCAATATTTTAGGAAACAGAGACTGAGTGAGGCGCAGTGACTGCCCAAGTACCCCCCAGTGGTCAGGAGCAAGGACCCCAATTTCCCAAGAAGTCCAGAGTTCCTTCTGGTTCTTTATGCTTATTTTAGCCAAGCAGCTTCTTTGCATTCCTGGCACTTTATGAAGGCCATGCTCCTGGCTGAAAAATGTATATCTTGGTTTTGCTTCAGTTCAGGAGCAGCCTAAGGTGTGACAGGGAGAAAAATCTTATTACGGGCACACTTGACAATTAGGAAGACAGATGGGCCAATTCTGCTGGCCTATTTGCCACCCCTAGTCTGCAATGTTATTACATCTGTTTTAGCTGGAGGAGAATAACAGGTGCCTCACAGTATTCGGGGTGGGGGAGAGGGTGGATGGGGTCTGGCGGGCCAGGCTGGGAGATGTTCTAGACAGGACCATTAAGGTCAAGGAACCAGCTATTGGCTTTGTCAAAGGCTTCCTCCCTACAGGGCAGGGCTCTTGCTTGCTGTCTCTGGGGTCTTGCCTACCCACCTCACCACCCCTTTCTGCAAACAAAACACCTGCTTTAGGCCATTTTGTTCTCATCTGCAGATCAGGATCTTCATTCAATCAGTAATTCACTCATTCATCAAAATCGAGTAAAACCTCTGATCTGTACCAGTTACTGTTCTGGCTCCAGTGCACAAAGGATGGTCCCGAAGTGTGGCCAGTGCTTCTGCAGCTCTGCTCTGCTGGGGGAAGATAGAGGTAGCTTTACTACTAATTTAACCAATGTCTAAGCAAGTTGGCTGGTGGGCATTTACGACTTCTGAATGCTGATGATGTGCTCACTTTGAAAACTCTCATCTCAGGGTCTGGGGTGGTAGGGATGGAGGTCGGTGGTAGAGTGCTTGCCTAGCATGCGTGAGGCCCAGGTTTGATCCCCAGCACTGAAAAATAACAAACAGGACCCCTTTGATCTTGTGCAGGTTCTGTCACCCCAGGGGAACCTCAGTTTTGCTCACTGTGAGTGGATTGATAACAGTCCTTTCCCCCCATCTCTGGGTGGTCAAGCAGACACAGTGACTGTAGGTCTACCCAACTCTGAGTTTGGAGCAGTACAGAACAATCACAATGTGCACGTGTGCCAAACCCTGGCACATTCGGTTCTCACAGTCATCCTTCAGATGGTTATTCTCATAATACCCAGTGACGAAAAGGAAGCTCAGAGACTCTGTGTGACTTACCAGGGTCATGAAACAAGCAAACTGGGATATATATGTATATTTGGACCGGAGATTAGCCCAAGAGCACTTTACCACTGAGCTACATTTTCAGTCCTTTTTTTTTAATATCTCATTTTATTTTGAGACAGGGTCTCACTAAGTTACTTAGGACCTAGTTAACTTACTAAGTCTGGCTTTGAACTTTCAATCCTCCTGCTTCAGCCTCCTGAGCTGGTGAGATGATGGGCATGTGCCACGGTGCCCCACCATGAAATTGCGATTTGACAGAGCTTTCTGTCTCTGGAGCTCAGACAGTGAAGCACATTGTGATTTTCTTGTGGTACAGTGTGTGGGAAGAGGCATGGGCTTAGAGGTCAGGGAATCCTGAAATTGGAGACTAAGTCTGCTGCTAAGGAGCTGTGTGATTTACAGCTGGACCCTAACCTCTCTGTGCCTCAAAATGCTAATCCTGCAGGCCCAGGTTAGATTAAAAAACTTTTAATAGGCCTTTCTGTGAACAGCATCCGGTCTCTACAGATCGTATTTCAAAGTAGGATGAAAGAAAAGAAGAAGGGCCTTCTTGCTAAAAATAGGCCCATCGCAGTTTCCGGGATAGAATAAATGCCGTCCCAAGATTTTAAGTAGATGGTTAATGTGCTGCTTAGGCAGTTATAGATTGGTGGTGTCTGAAGAAGCAGGCTGGTGTGTTCCTTCTTCAAGGAAAGGACTCTGCAGTATTTTCCCAAGGAGCGCCTCACTGTCTCTCCTGGGCCCTGAGCCCTGCTCGTCAGATAACTTTGTGGGGACTCAGACAATGTGGGAGAAAAACACAAATCCTAATTTCCACCCCCTTCCCATTCCTTTCCCCTAAAGTAAATAAAACTTATTGGCTGCCATTTTTTTTTTTTTAATTTAAATGTGTCTGTGGCTTTTCCCCCTCTGGT